AACTATAGAAATAGTAATACAATTTCTGGTGGATTAATACTATGAGTTATTTTAGTAGCAATTCTTTTTTTTTTTTTTTTTTTTTTTAACTGGGGATTGAACTCAGGCCCTCGCGCTTGCCAGGCAAGTGATTATTCTACTGAGCCATCTCCCTGGCCCCAGTAGCAATTCTTAATATTGAATTATTTTTTTCTTATTTTTGGGATAAATTCTAATGTGTTGTAATATACGTATATCATATAGAGCATATATTTTTGAAAATGTGGATTACGTTCAACAGCACATTATTTTAAATTTTGGCATCAATGTTCATAAGATTGAACTATAGTTGATTGTTACTGTTTTTTTGTCGCGTCTTGTAATTCATCAAGTTCTAGAGCTTCCTCGCCTTTTCTGGTTTCCTGGACGGTTGGAGTTGCGTCTGAGCACACATGGGCACAAAGAGAAGCCCTGGCCGCACCAGGCGGCTTCTGCTGCGGCTGTGCGCCCGAGCTCTACACGCGAGGTCGCCAGCCCTACCAGCCCTACTCATCCCCTCTGTCGCTGAGTAGCAAGGCTTTGTAAGAGGGTCTTCCCAACTTTCATGCCCTCTGTCCAGCTCTTGTGCTCCTAGTAATCTCAGTATTCCTGAAAGTGTATTAAAACTAAAAAATAGATTTAAAGAATACTTCTATGGTTTTCCATGCAGGCCTGGCCTGAGCAGCACCATAGCTGGTGCCAAACCCCTCCGCAGCCACGTGGGCATGGGTATGTGGCATATGGACCAAAGCTCTGAGAATTCCAGTCCTGTCCTCAGACTCAATGGGTCAGCAAGTAGGGTCTGTGCCACCCTAGAGGGGGAGGACAGGGTGGTGTGCAGAGCCTCGCTCTTGCTGCGAGCAGCATCCATGACAATGTACAACAGCTCCTGCAGTCTGTGGCTTCTGAGTGCCCCGCTACCTCACCGTCTGCTTGCAAGCTTCATTGTAGGTGTGCCGAACTGAGTCTGTGTGGCCGCTTCACAGTGCCTCTCTCGCGCGCTTTGCTCTGCTAGCTGCACCCTCTCCTCGCTCGCCAGCACCTGCTCCAGCCCTCTTATCCTTCTAGGGCTCACGGCACAGGGCTGCTTGTCCTCCACTCTGCTTTTTTCCTGCCAGGGTTAGGCAGAGCAGCGGGCATGGGGCATAGATTTGGGTTTAACTAAACCCATCATGAGGCCTCGTTCCCCTAGCCCATGGACTGGTGCTAAGGATGAGCAGCAATCCAAGCCAGGCCCACCACCACCATCCCCATCAGAGTTTCCCCCCTCCCCATGCTTGTTGAAGGACTCCTTGGAGGTTCAGGCCAGGTCCCAATCTTCGAGGATGTTCATGGCCAGGACCCTGACCACAGGGAGAAAAAAATAAGGAAAGTCTTGTCATGACTGGAGAAAGAGAAAAATGTAGAAAGTACCTAGCCATGGTTTCCTGGAGTGTCCTGGTGGTTGTCTCCTCTTAGCTGTCCAGTCCTTCCTATAATTCCATAAATGGCCCCAATAAACCCCTTTTGCCCATGCTAGTGCAAATTAGAGTTCTTTCACTTTAATAGTGAGTACGGAGAGATACACAGACCCATATCACCCCGTGGAAATTGCCTCTCAGGTAGGGTTGTTCCTGACTTCCAGTGCTTGGACAGCATTTTCCCACCTGCACTCATTGAATGACCTCATTGGAAAGGGAGGAGGGACAATGGGCATGCGCAGACCTGGAGCTCCCCTTCTATCAGAGTCTTTCTTCCTGAAACTCAGGTCTTATCAACATCTTTCTCTTCCCCAGACATGTATAGATCACCCCCCCAGAGCTTTACTCTTGGGGAAGTGGGGAACTCAGTGAGTACAGGAAGAATAGCTCTGGGTTACGTTCCAAGACACACAGGTAATGAGCGCACCACCACCCTACAAGCGTGGTTTCAGAACAGCGGAGAAAGGCCGGTGACTTCACCAGCTACCCTGGGGCCTTGGACAAGTCACAGGCAGTGTGTGAGAGCCAGAGAGATCTGGCCCTCTTGTCCCTGTCCCTTACAAGCATGGCACTTGGAGGCTGGCAGGAATTTACCAGCCTTCACCAAGAGCCTTTGACTTCCATTTCAGAGCTGCAAACAATATTCCATTATTTTAGCAGCTAGCGGTTCTCCTTGGTCCTTGTTGAAAGGTGAAAACTGCACCATGAAATGAGTGACAGAATTTGGTCACAATCTAAAATACTGTGTTTCTGAGCAAAACTAATTCCCCCTCAAAAAAAAAAAAAAAAAAACCTGTAAAACAAAACAAATGACAATGTCCCAGTCTAGGGTCATTTGGTTCCATTGTTTTTGAGCCTATAGTGAGGCACAGATTCATGGCAGAATGATGTGAGGGAGGAAGAGAGGGAGACAGAGGGGAGAGGGAGGGAAGGAGAGAAAGAGACAGAGACAGAGACAGAGACAGAGACAGAGACAGAGACAGAGACGGAGAGAGATGGAGAGAGATGGAGGGAGAGAGAGAGACAGACAGAGAGGAGAGAGAGAGAAAGATGAAGAAAGATAGAGACAGAGACAGACAGACAGAGAGATGGATGAGGTGGGGGGAGAGAGAGAGAGAGCGCAAACCAGAGAGAGAGAGAACCAGAGAGACCAGGCGGTGAGAGCCAGGCTGAGCACACCTCTTCCAGGCCATCCTGCAGCCATCCACCTTCTTCCTCTCGCCTCCTAAAGCTCACTGAGCCATGACCTGGCCAACGAAGGCAAGTCCGTTGCTTCCACAGGCCCCGTGACCTGATCGTTTTCCAAAAGCTCCACCTGTGAACACATCAGCCTTTGGGGGAACATTCTAGACCAGACCATCACATCTCTGCTCACCAAAGCAGAGCTCCCCAGCGTGCCGCCCTCTGGACGCACCACGGGCTCCATCACGGGCCTCGGTGTCCACCTCTGCGGTACAATTTCCAGTCAGCTGCAAACGTCTCTGAGCATCTGCCAGCCCTTCTATGTCAGGAATACTAATTCTGAAATGCTAACATGGAGAGCTCTTGGGGAATGCTCTCGCCACCACGCTAAGTACCTCAGTGGAGAGCAACTGGCCCACTGTGGGCCATTCATCAGCTTGCTCCGACTGCTAGTTCTAGCCCTATGGACTGGGGTCCAGAAAGCAGCAGCATCAAACTTATCTCCACTTCTGGATAAGGAACCGTAAGGCACAGCCACTCCCACTGCGGCCCAGGGTCAGGAGCCATCCCATTCTGTTGGACACCAGTATTTGTCCACCTTCTTAGCCATTATAAACTAACTTGCTAACTGCCAGCACACTAATCTGTCCCTTCTGCAATAAATTGCTCTTTAAAATCTAAGGGCCTTCTGTAGACCCTGTACTAAATAAAAAAAAAAAAAAAGTTAAACAACTGCAAGGGCTTTGAAGATACAGGGACAAGTTGCACAGAAAGAGGCCCCCGCAGCATGTGTCCTTAGGGAGAACAGTGGATGTTTGCGTACTTCTGGTCGCTAAGGAGCTGCCTTCTAGTTTTCGGCTGTAATGTGAGGCTTCTTCCTGCCCGTTTTTGTATTTCATGCTCACTTAAAAGTTCGGAGCGGTGCTTCCTGGGGCAGCACATATGCTAAATTCCGTGAGTGTGCGAGGGTTATCCAAATATAGGATTAATGTTTACATTTTTAAAAAACTTATTACAGTAACAGACACACTGCCAGTGGTAGGTCAGTACATATGAAGTGAGGAAAAGAACTGAGTACTTGGAGGAAGATTAACAGCGATGTTTTCTTCTGTAAGTCTTTTTACTTAAATATCACCATATTTCTGGTCACTCAGTGATCAACCCTTTACATTATTTTTCTGTCGAATAAAAACACCAAGCTGTGTCCTCACTCACCTTAGTTACGAGCTCCGGCTCCAGGGCACTTCTGGCTTCTCCCCAAAATCAGTGACCAGGAAAGAAAATGTTCTGAATGGGTTTAGGGCACTGAGACAGCCAGGACAGCATCGCTAGACCCTCAGGAGAGAAGACTCCGGAGCTGCTGCAGGACGTGGTGGGGCCTGTGGGACGGGCGTGCACAAAGCGCGGGGAGGATTGTGAGGGGGATGGGTGGCGACGAGCCTTTTAGTGTACTCATTTTTTAAAATTAGGCCTTCACCACACTTCTCTATCATTCCATTAACGGGAATGGTCGGCCAGGCGACAACCTCCAGCCCGACCTGCAGGCGCCGCCTCCACGGTCTGTGGGAGCCGCTGGGCTTGCAGCTCTGGGTCCCTGCGGTCCCACCCCGGTTGGCGGGGACAGGAGGGCGAAGAGCCGGCCGGCCAGTGCTGTTCTCTGCGGGGCTCCAAAGCTCCCTTCTCCCTCCCCTCGCTGAGTCTGCTGAAGCCACCTAGAGCCCCTGCGCGCGGCCTGGCGTCCCCTGGAGGACTCCAGTCCTTGAGGGGAGATCACGTGATCCTGGACCCCAGCGGCCCGATGCCAAGCCAGGGGCTGGTGGCGGGGCGGCACCCAGATGTCACCCCTGTCACCCGCGGGCCCTGGGCCCCTCCCATCTCCTCGGAGCTCACGGCGGGCTCCAAGACCCTCGGGGTGCCTACGCAGAAGGGAGGCGGGGGGGAGACAGCGGCTTCCTGCAGGGACCGCGGCCGGCTGCTGCGGGTGCGTGGAGGACCCGGTCCGGACCCCTCGGTCCGCGTCCGCAGCCCCTTCCAGGCTGCTCCGCCTCCGCCCCAGAAATGATTCCCAGCCCCGCTCCGCGGGTTCTTTTGTTTCTTTGTTTTAATGACAGTTCCCAGCCCGTGGGCATGTCATGCGCAATTAATTCCCTGGCTCCCTGGAAGGCAGCTGGGGTGAATTTCTTTTTTTTCTGCATCATCCTTTTGGGGATAATTGTTGATGATGTGACGTCAGCGGATTGATTTTCCTGCGCTGAATGAGAGAGGGAGAAGAGGGAGAGAGAGAGAGAGAGAGAGAGAGAGAGAGAGAGAGAGAGAGAGAAGCGGAGACACAGATGTGTGCAGAGGCCACAGATACTGACATTTGAAAATCTGGAATCCAGGGCAAAACCAGATGCCAACAGGAGCATGGAGTGTGCTGCCAGTACTTCAGGCGGCGTGGGATTATTAGGAAGTTTTCCTTAAAAAGGAAACGAACCTCCCGCGCAGCGCCCACCCGCGCCCTGGCCAGCCGGCCCGCAGGTGGCCCGCGCGCTCCAGGTGGGCTCGGTGGCCCTGCGCCGGGCCTGGTGTCAGAGAGGCGGCCGAGCCATGTGACGCGGGCCAGCGGGAAGGGATTGGCCGAGGCGGCGCAGGCGGTGCAGCGGGCCGGCTCCTGCCTCTGCCTCCCTCCCAGCATCTTCCCGGAGCCCGGCTGCAGAGGCATCCATGGCCTGGCGATCCGGGTAACTCCGTCTCCTTTGGGCCCAGCAGCACACGGGGCGGACCGGCGGCGGCAGCAGCGTGGCCAGGAGGTAGCCGGGACCTGCGATCAAATCCTCCTGGGCTTTTTCAGACTCCTCGGAAATTAAGGAATGCAATTCCGCCACCATGATGGAAGGTAGGTTGCTGGCGGCTGCTGTGGTTGGCTGGCTGGCTGCAGGCACCGTCTGGGCAGAGCCGCCTGGGAAACGGCTGCAGCCGGTCTGGGTGCCAGCGCTGTCCTGGTGTCTGGGGGCCTGGGGTTTGCACGCGACAGTGCTGCAGACCTAGGCTCCTACTAATGGCATCAAACCCTGGGGTTCGAGCCAGCTCAGGACGACCCAGTGCTTCCAAGAGCGCCTGGGCTAGCAAAGGCCAGGAGTATGCAGAAAGCCCAGGCAGGGCTGGATAGGAGCTGGGTGGAGGAGTAAGTTAGAAGGGAGATAAGGCTTTCTGTGCCGGCTTTCTGGAACTACACTGATTAAACATTTACAATGGAAACTTGTTTTCTGAAATTGACATGAGGCAAGTGAGGTCATTGACAGAGTTACCATGCTGTCCTTTACGGCCAACCGCTTAAACATTTTTAACATTCTTCTAAGATATTTTTATCTCTATAATTGGCATCCTATTATCGGAACCAGGGGTGCAGTACATTGGGGCCACAAACTGTATTTCACAGGGATGTCATTGCAGCAGAATGAGAACAGAAGGAAAATATCCAGGCCTCTTGGCTTCTGAATCGGATCTTGTCACATTAAAAAAAAAAATGTATATGTTCTCCTTAATTGCTTTCTCAGTGTGACAGTTGCTAGCCAGGCATCCAATGATTACTTTCCGGTTACCTTTTGTGCACTCAATATCAAATATAGGAGGAACTTTCCTCGGAGAGATTCTGCTTAAACTATATATATTATTCTACTAAATTACCATTCTCAGCCAGAGAGAGCAACAGCCAAGATTGCCTCAAAAAAGCAGCAGACTGATCAGAAAAGGAGCAGGGGGTTCTGTGCTGGCTTTGATTTTCCTGCTTCACACTACAGGGTGGTGCAGAACTCCTGGCCCTTCCCAAGATGACAGGCAGAAATTTGTCCCTCGCCTGGATTTTTCAATGCAGAACTGAGTGCATAATGGGTCTCAAATCAGCCATGAAACTGGCAGAGAGGCCATCTCTGAGGCCAAGGTCTGGCCTACCGATTTCAAACGTTCCTCAGAAATTGACCAAAATAGGGGAAGGGGAGGGTGGTTTCGAGTCCCAGCAACGTAGCCCATCTTTATGTGTCAGAAATGAGTTCCTTTTTTGCTGTCACTATGTCAAGCACTGTGGATGTGATTTGAGGAAGTGAAGAATTCTGGAGGCAAAGCCCGTAGATTTGGGGAAATAACCTTGCAGGCGAGCTTGAACATCGTTGGTGATGCAGCCGGCTCTTGTTTGCAAAAGGATCTCAAGCTAGCTCTTTACTTACAGGCCTAAATAAGCTGGGACTGCTAACGCTGTAAAATCCAATCATTTTTCATTCGCTCAAAATGAATTTAGTCTTTGAGTAACAAGGCAAGACAAATAGACAGTCATTTATGGACTTTTGAAATAAAGCCTCATGTAGCTTATTCTCTTCAGAAAAACAAAAATCTTGCCTGTGAAAGTGCTGTTCCTCCAGCTAAATTTCACACAACCTTCCTTACAAATCTGCCACATTGCTGTCTAACCTGAAATGAGAACTGGAACAAAGACTTGTGCTGGCGCCGGATTAGCATGGTTGCTGGGGTTGCCAAATTTATCTAATGAAGGATGTTATCCTAGCACTGGCAGGACTTAGAGGTGACACTGGATACGGTGGGCTTCTAGGGGACCCTTCACGAGAAACTGGCCAGGTGTGCTCACCGGTTTAAAGGTCTAAGTGTACCGAATAATGTTTTTCTCCCCAAGGCTCCTGCTTAAATGCTTTTTGAGCCTTGTTATCCTAGTGGCTTAGTGACCTTGGAAAAGCTGGTGGCTCCTGAGCCAGAAATCCGTTCAGCTGTCAATGAATTTCCACGCAGTGGTCATCGCGGGGGCAGCACGTGCTCACGTCTCTGGTACTGCAGCCCAGAATCTTACCTCTGCACTGCTCTTCCGCTAAGGACCTAGCGAGGCCGTCCTTATCCCCACAGAACTCACCTGGAGAGCGAGCCAGGCTGTGGTCACTCACAGTAGCCTTGGAAAGATAAGATGCGCCCAGCATCAGTGAGCCTCCACACAGTGTCCTGTCCCCACTCGTCTGGGTCTCTCTCTCACATACATGTGTCACATGTGTCATGCTTCCCACACAAACATCCTTCTAGAGAAGGCGAGAATGTGTGTGCTCACGCAGCATGTGCTTGCATTTCCACATTGCTGAAGTGTGGCCTGCTGCTCAGGACAGCAAGGCCAGGACAACTTTGCAAAGCCTCTTCTCTATTTTGTGTAGAGGAGGAAACGGATACCCCGCAGAGTGGTTCCCAGCTGAGGGTGTATTCTTTTCTTCTGTCCAACAGGATGTAGGCTCCCCTCAGCCACTGCCTACTGGAAGTTCTGGTCCAAGGGGAGGAACGTTCCTACCTCCCCAGGGAGTCGGATATCATGAAAGGCCAATTTTCTTAATCTCCTGTGAGGATCTTCCCCAGCCCCTTCCACAGGGGATCAGTAGTTGGTCTTTATGCGTCTGTTTCAGTCATTGTTATTAAAAACCTAAATCCCAGTTTCAAGGGATCCTATTGGTTGTGTCCCAAAGTTTGCATTTTTTGGCAGCAGCTGGTTTGGAGTGGTTTCTTTCAAGAGTGACTCTTGGTTGGGGTGAGGGTGAGTAGGAGGAGTCATCCGCTGAGAGGTACCATGCAGCCAGGCAACCACCTACGGGCTACTTGTTCACATACAATTGTCAAAGTTGGAAAATGACATTTTTAAAGCTACCTTTCCAAAGAAAACTGAATCCAAGTCAGGGCTTTTAGGGTATTTGCTCAGTCGTGCAGCTGCCTGGAAAGCCTTTCGTTGGCCGTGCAGGACTGGCTGAAGGGATCTGCGTTTTCAGTTCAGGCTCTCAGGTGCTATAGTAATGGGCGATGATTTTCTGCTTGACAATGCCTCCACTCTACAAATGAGCTTAAAGTCAATGAGCATATTTTTGAGAGTTTAATTACCATTTCAAGAAATAGAATAAATGTTATTCATTACTTACAACTTGCAAATAAGTATATTCTATATAAAGTTCCTTAGTAGTGTTTTTTCTAAATCTCAAAAACAAAACAAAATACATTAAGGCAGAAAAATGATAGATGGAGTTTGAAGCCAAGTGCACTTAACAAGATTCATCTTTTTGACCCTCTAGGGACTTTTTCTTTTTACTTTGCATGAGGATTGGCATGTTGGCTAAACTTAAAAATAGACTTTTATTTCTTTGGTTGCATATTCTATTTCTTTGTATTTTAAATATGAGTAATCACAGTACCATATTATTTAATTCTTTACTAATGCTTTTATGACCAAAATCATTATTTAGGTAGTAATACATAATTTGCAAATAACTGAACTTTTGTTTCAATAAAACTTAGGAAGAAAACAGGCTCTTTCCCATGTAGAAATAGGTTTTATAGTATTCGGGAAGTTCCTCAATGTAATTAAAAGAGAGACTAAAGATCTTGAAGTGAGGATGGGCGTGGTGGTGCACACCTGTAATCCTAGCACTTGGGAGACCCAGGCAGGAGGATTGCCTGGTGTTCAAGGCCAGCCTGGGCTTCACAGTGAGTTCAAGGCCAGTGTGTACTACAAACATGACCCTGTTTTAAAAAAAAAAAAAATCTTGGAGTGGGAACCTTCATCTTATAGCTAGCCAGGACATGTTAAGGAGGGCCAGGGAGACAGCTCAGCAGCATAAATGCCAGACTGGCATGTGCAGGGTCTCAAGCTTAATCACAGATACAAAAAAAAAAAAAAAAAAAAGACATTTTAAGGAGAATGCTTCCAACTCTACCGATTTCCTTCCCTTACGCAGAGTCCCTTTCGATGACCGAAGCATGTACGTGAACTTCTGTTCTATTTATTAGTCCGTGTTTGTAATACGTAAAGTCTACACTCCTCGTGAGGAGTGCTGCGGGTACCCGGCTGTCTTCCTTCCTTTCCTCGCCCCTCTTCCACTCCTCCTTCCTCCCAAGTGATTTCTGTCCTCCCTCATGTCTGTGTTGGAGACCTTGCGGTGCATTCGTCCCCACCCAGCTCCCGAGATCAGCTCCTAAAACGAATAGTCTTAAAAAGAAATCATACTAGACAATCCAACACAATTCTTTCCTTTGGATAGGGCAGATAAACTATCCATTTTTAAATCCTCAAATCACAGGAAGTCCCCAACTCACAATTTTTACGTTCCTGAAGCTTGTGCTGGTTCCTTGGAGCGTGTGTTCGCCCAGGAAGAATGATACAGTGGTGCTGCGTCTCTCGCTGGCCAGCCAGCACCTTGCTGAATACTAAAGGCTGGCCTCAAGTGTTTAAAGAACAGTATGATTTCCGTAGTCATTATCCAGAAGAAAAGGATGGAACAGATGTGTTTTTAACTTCAAATATTAGTGGTGTTGCATGTTGCATATTGCTGCTAAGACTTCCAGCACGGCTTACCTAAGGTAATCATGAACAAAGAAAGTTTTATTAGAAGAAATTGAGAAGCTGGAGACAAATTTGAACATATTTTCAGAAAAAAAAAAAAAATTAGGTATTTTCAGAAGTTTTAGAGACCCACGCCACTGGATTTTTCAATTCCATTCCATTTCGCTTCCATGCTTGGGGCTTACCTTTGCTTGATTCAGTGTTATCGTATGAACTGCTATTAAACTTTGAGTAAGGTTACCACGTAAACACACATAGGCTATCAGGAGGAGAGGGACTTTCCTGAGATGACTATAGAGAACTGGAAGGAGAAGAGGGCCAGTGGCTTTGGGCTTGAGCTCCTGAGAACGTCCCGGAGGAGTCAGCTGAGGAGGAGGTGGGCAGAGACGCTCGGGAGCAGCTGCGGGCAAGGGCACGGGTCTAACCCGCTCGTGTGCCTGCCCCAGAGGCCCCCTTTCCAGGGCAGAGCTGGAGGTCTCTGGCTCTGGGAGGGGCAGATCCCCATTCCTGGAATCTGCAGGTCAGTT